CATTACAATGACAGGGAAATTCTGAGTAAAAAGAAAGGGAAAGAAAGAAAGAATCAGATGTGTTTTGATAACGGCTGTGTTATCTAGGGGTACGTAAGCAAACGGCTGGTCGACTGGCCAGGGAAAAATTCAAGTGAAAATGTTATTTCGACAAGTGACGAAAAACAGGCAACTAAAAAGGACTTTGGACAGATATGAAAAATTAAAAGCCACACAAGCATGGTCCGCTGACCGATTTTTTTTCGACGAAACAACTTTGGCCTGCGATAATAAAATTATGTTATCGGAAATATGTACCGAAGGAAAATGAATGGGGACCCAGGGGTGTTTTTTTTTTCTTCCTTGGAGGCGACAGACTGACTGAAACTTTAGAGATATTTCTTTTTTTCAGGCCGTGATAAGAAGACCACCTATTTTGATAATTAGCGATAAAATACCTGACAAAAACCACGTGTAGAACAAGAGTTGTCATATTGTCCCGTTTGCAGCTAGAAAAATGATAACGGCGATTAAAGCGGAAGAAAAGGGAAAGAGAAGAGATACTTTTTTTTAGTTAAGCAAGATATTTTTTTCCGAAACAAAGCCGCGGATTCGTTCACGCCCGACTAAGACATCATTGGTCAAGTGGTGATCACGTGACGCACGAAGGATGAGGAGAGATACCCGACTAAGACCTCATTGGTCAAGTGGTGATCACGTGACACACGAAGGAGGCTGTCGACGCCTCATCCAGAGTATAAGTATGAGAAGCTGCTACGAAGAAGTGGGGAGGGCAGTTCACGCCCTCTGAAGTATGGTGAGAAAGTGGGAGTAAGGAAAGGTTCCCAAAAATGGAAAAGAGTGGAAAATCCCTAACCAGAAATAAAAGAGGTGGATATGTATTTAGAATTATCGAGGAACCCCCGACGCCGACAGACCCACCCCGGTTTTGGTCGGCGTCAATAAAAGCGAGGCCCCAACAGGCAGAAATCAGTTCGGGCTCCAGCGGAGAGTTGAGTTTCCAGAGTTGAGTTCCAGCAGTTCCAGTGAGTTTAGCTAACCAAGATTCACGCAAATTCCGGACTCCTCTTCAACCCAAAAACAATTATTTTGAAGATCGACTTAGATCCTGACCACCGAAATAAGTTTTTTTCTTTTCGACTTTCGTCCAAAGACACACCGAAATGCCAATTTCTTAGAGAGCAAACAACTTGAAGCGTTAAAACTTGCCTAACGGAAAACGACCTGTCACAATCCACAGAACGGGTCGGGAGATAGACGCAGTCCTATGTATCGAACAACTAGACATAAAGTTTGTTACCTTTTTCTTTGATACTTTGAACTTTTGAGTTTTCATTTTATTTTCTTTTATGCATATTTGTGTGGTATCACCCTCGTTGAACTCAGTTTGCATTACGGCCCCGACTACTGATTGATCTCGTCTGCCTAAGATCAATTCACAACGTGGGTAGGCAGACTGGAGATCAATGCAGTTACCTTGGTAACCAGGCGTTGAAAGCGAGTTGGGAACGACGAGGCTGATATCAAATCTAACCAGATTCCCACCCGAATCACCAAAAGGTTAGAACGTCACATTTGGGTGCCGCGACCGATACCAAGCCAGTTGGTCGTCACAGGACGAAACAACACGACTGGCGCGACAGGCGGACGTCACGTTTGGAGCAGCGACACCCGAACGGAGCAGCGAGGAGCGAACAGCTGGCGCCGCGGCGAGGGCGTCACAATTGGTGCTGTTTGGGGACGTCACAACTGGTGCCGTGGTAGATCAGGATAGAACGTCAAAGTTGGCGCTGCGACCGGGGGACGACGTCACACTACGCTAGACTGTTTTTTAAATGTACTCTAAAGATCTCAGAATTAAAATCCAAAATATAATTCTACTCCTGTGCATACCCAGGCTTATTCTACGCTAAACTGTTTTTTATCCATGGTACATGTTGGGTTAGTTCAGCTTATAACCTTCAGTCTAAAATTGACTAAATTAGAATATACACCTTCCAGCGCACTATGTACCCGCGTCTTTTCATATATAATAAGGTATATATTATATCCGCAGATGATAGTCGGTGATCCTATAGGTAAAAAATATGGTACTATACAGAGCTCAGTTTTATCCTGACTTTTTGTTTATACATAAGTAAGCCTAAATAAAGGGTATTATCACATTCACTTACGTGCAAATACCCTGTGGATAAATAGCAGGACAGACCGGGTTCTATAGCCTTGTTTGGCAACTGGTCTACTGCAGAAAGAAATGGTAACCTACTGCGGGAAAAATCTGCTTCGCTATTCATGTATCGAAAGGTCGCCTAAGTGTGTATCACGCATGGCACATAACTGAATGAAGCTTAAATTCTGGATCACCGTTGCTTTTAGTCTAAATGATTGAAGAATGATCATTCTTTCTGATTGATCAGTGTGGCTGTGCAGTGTAAGGGTTATAACGGGAATTAATCTGGACTAGGTTGAACCATACTCGCCTATATTCTGTGAGGGATGGAGCGTGATAATCTGGATTTCTCCACTGGCATGCTCGGGTTCTTTTCTCTGAACAGAAATGGTAGCGAAGAAAGGGCGAGTGACTCTGCTTGATCCTCAAGGATGTACCCACATTGATTCAAACCAATTTCCCGTGGTCTGTGATAGTTCCTCTGGGTCGTGAGCAAATAAGTCCATGTTATACTACCCTGGTTCACTGGTTTCAATGCGAATACAACTGCGTGAACACGGTGTTCATGCACTGGATTCAAGAAAATTGTCCTTACGTGTTGAAGTATATCTGTGCTAGATAACGCGGGTGTAATTGGCTGATAATTTGTCACAGCCAACACATAGCCTTCTTGCCATCCTGATTTGAATTTCTTAGACTAATTCATATGGGGTCTGACAGTACCGCATTCCGCTCTAGTCGGTTGCATTCACCTTATCCAGTACTACTTACAGATGAGTTAAATAGCCGAAGAGACGAGATTCCCGGGCCTTGTATGGAAGTCAATCTAGAAGGAATATTCTGAATGATTCGGGAATATTAGTCGACTATCTTACTCAGGAAATCATGTTTGTAACAAGATACACTCAGCTTTCTTATCCTTGGTTAGCAGCCAGTCTAATAGAATTCAAAACCGGGAAGAAGGCAACGGTAAAACACTCCACAACCTTTCGTTGAGAGTTGTGTCCATCAAGAGTCGTATCAGTCCATAGATATTTAAAAGGAAAAGGAATCTATCGAGAGTCATGTTTGCATAATCAATGGAGGCACGTGTCATTTGAAAACAAATGTTGGTGTTTGAACAATTGTTACTGTTTGATCATTTTAAGGCAACATATGTTGCTTAAACAAAGGTAAAACAGCCCTACTCTATTCATGAAATATTTTAGTCATTAATGTAAGGCATTTGAAAAATCTATCGAGCGTATCGTCCCATTTTAATTTAAGATACTTCCTGCAAACACATTTAATGCAGATATTTAATGAAAGTAACCACTCGGCTTTATTAACGGCTTTTATAAAATTATCCAAAGATATGTTCCAGTGTTTCGTATTCATTCCTACCGGAATATGTCTTTTTGTTCTACAACATCAATAAAGATGTCGGAAAAATGGTCGGCTCCTTGTGCCACTCCAGAAAGTATCCGATTCCTGTCATGCTTTATAAATACAAGTATCAGATAAGAATGTCTGAATTTGAGCTGCCCGACCCTCTATATCCATCCCCGACAGAGTTCAAAAGTGTTCACGCGGTCTTTTATGGTAAGACTTATTCCCTTACCCACCACCTCCACCTACTTTCCCACAGACGCAACGACGCCAGACTATCGATACTCTATCGATTCTTTCATGGAAAATGTTCATACGGGTTTCAATCTTTCGTTCCACCAGCTCTAACCCTTACACCCAAGACCCGCCTCACTACGTCTAGAGTGTTGAATCATTCTCATTCCATGCGTGTTCCACTGGTAAGAAATAATTTCCACTCAGTCAGCTTATTCCCAAGCTCCACTATATTATGGAACAGACTCCCACGTGGATATTTTCCCCCAAAATATAATCTTAACCTTTTCAAATTTAAGGTCAAGCATTTTCTGCATATTCTTATAAGATTTACACATACTTCCTCCTTTTATGCTCATATCTTACCTCTTATTCAGTAATCCTCTAACTTGAGTAGCTCTTGGGCCTTGTGTACGATGAACAATTGAAATTCGACTTTGCGTTGATGGCAGACTTAGTAAGAAGACTGAAAGAACTTTTAGACAATGTAGTAATGGGGAGAAGTAGTAATAGTAAGAGGCGATGAATAATATGAAATTCTAAGGAGGCACGAATGGGTTCATGTAAATATAATTACTAAAGGGTGTTTCATTAAGACGGATTGTATATAAGGGTGTTTCATTAAGGAGGAAAAAAGTCAGCAGTAAATAAGTCAGTGTTATTGGTAAAAAATTATTTATTTCTCTATTGGATCATGTTATTTAAATCATGGCAATTATGTGTGAAAAATAATATTGCCGAAATGTCCGCCAAATCTGAAAGAAAAAGAAAAAAAATATTATCAGACGCTTAAACTTAATTCACATTTAAAATCGGTAGAAGTTATTGGAACACGCTTTATTTAGTAGTCATCGCAATATTTGCTTGCTCTAACTCTTTGAACATTTTTAATATATTTAATTGATAAGATAATATGGATCGTCTCGTAATCTGTAATTTCTACTGCGAGCAAACATCTTGCCTGTGGATAGAGAATGAGTTTAGGGATTACACGCATATGGAAAGTGACTTTAAACGAGGATACGTTTTCTTACCTGATTTATTTCGACCGGACAAGGAGACGATTCTACGCGAACCACCGAGCAGGATTTCTTATTTACAGGCATAACAACATAAGCTGCGCAGATGTGTTGAGACGGACAGAATTAAAACTGAAAGACAAGATAGTAATGGAAAGCAAGAAGGTTGAACTATGAACGTAAGAAAAAAGAATAAATATTTGTCGGCAAAAAGAAAAAAAATTGCCGAAAGTATGAACCACGTATCGGAAACGACAAAACCAGGCAGCTGCAAGAATTTCACTTTCTGTCTCGTATAGTGTTATACCGGAACATACCTATTCTATTATTAATAGACTCTCCCACAGATATTAAGTAGTAGTAGTAGTAGTAGCAGTCGCCAGGGCTCAGTGGAGTTGGTGAGTCAGTCGATGTCGGACATTAAAGTATCAACCACCACAGCTAGATTGCTACGTCATTAACTATTATTTCAAGTTTCTAACGTTTTGTACGTCGAACACTTTTAGGACCGGCTTAGTGAAATACAAGCCTCCACTGTGAAAACTACTCAACAACACATTGGCGACGAGGGATTCGTTTCTCATACGGAGGAAGAAAATTTGTTCGTTCACTCTATAACATATAGTAAGAGAGGAAAGAAAGTATGACACAAGAATTCAAGAAAGCATAGTCGTTGCGAAATATGCATTTTAGAAAATAATAAAGTATTCAGAGACAAAAAAAACATGCTTTAAATAAATAGAAGATTGTTAAACTGATATATAATATCTAGTCCCCTGTGTGGCAGTAGATGCTGGTCAATCTTCTCCAAGAATGATGAAAAGACTTGATGCGACGGAGATGTGATTCTTATAGCGAATGTTGAAGATACTATGGAATGAACAGCCGAGCAAAGAAAAAGTTTCAAAGAAAAGGGGAATTAAAAGAAAATATAAGTTGCGCCAGTGACATTGTCTTGATGACAGATTCGGAAAGTAAAATTGAAATGCCTCTTAGCTAAGATAGTAAAGTAAAAGAAGAAAGAACTATGAAAACAGAAACAATTAAGAAGACTGAATAAATGGTCATCAGCAAAAGAGACCGTACAATATATGAGTTACACATTGGGAATGTCAAAATTAAATATGCATGGTTAACTTCTTATTGGGATAGGAATCGTCGGTTGAAGTTGAGAAGATATGTGTTGACGAGCAAAAACTAAATGTGTTGAATTAGTTGAGAAAATCGACAAACAAAACAGAAAACAAAAGATATAAATGTTTATTCTGTCGGGAACATTTTTGTGTAGAGATACTTCAAATAATAATTACTGAAAGAAAGTACACATTCCAGCAATGATCTTTAGACAGTCTTCGTAAAATAGAAGAAGAGAAGGTTGAATTTACTTTGTTGGTGAGTTAAAGAGTGAGTCACATGTATCGTTTAAGCCATGTGCGGATGCTAAAAGACTTCTGATTTTAGCGTTCTATTTCGACCTCGTCCTGAAGTAAGAGTTAGCTTCTTGGGATTCACAGCACGCATGTCCACAGGTTTTTTTTGCGCGTACCCCTTAGATTTTTTTTTTATTTTGTTAATCGGTATCACCCCAAGCAAGGCAGTAAAGCCACTATGACACAAAGGGTTACAGGGTGTAGAATAACTAGAAACAGAAACATTAATAATGAACAGAAAGAGAAAAGTGTAATCAGAACAATAGATAGTGATTGACATTACATTTAATTTTTTGCAGATTAAAGTTGGCCAGAAAGCATGGAGGCAGAAGGGAGTTCAACAAGCGAGAAGCAAGAAAAAAGAAATTTTTAACATAGAACTTACGGTTACATATAGCTAGCGCAACTTTAGATCTAGTACTGCGCTTAAATTCATAAAGTCTAGGTAGCTTAGCGAAGAGCGGGAAAAGTTGTCGTTGCTACTGACAGGAGAATCTATACAAGCGTGTCTAGTGTAAAGATTTCATGTCCATCACAAACGTTTTGAGTCGTGTAGTAACAGACGACGGGACATGTGATACAGAAATTCAGACGCATTAGCAAAGCATAAGACATAGTAAAATATCATTGGAAACAAAGAAAAAAATGTTGAACTATCATCTAATATTTAATCATCCATCCAGCAGTGAATGCTGGGAAATTCCAAATAATGAAAAGTCTTGAAATAATATAGATGTGGCAATAACAACGTCTTAAAGAAAACAGAAACTATGAAGAAACTACAGCTAAGCAACAAAAGCAGACAGCTGGAATTTTCACGACTTATAATAAGGAAAAAAGGTTGGCAAATTTAATACCGACACACTGAATGCAAGATATACAGTTTGGAATAGCGTGTAACGTACTTGATTCTATACCCTGTAACCTTTTGTCTTAGTGGCTTTACTGCTTTGCTTGGGATGATACCGATTAACAAAATAAAAAAAATCTGTGGCACGCGTAAAAAAAAAAAAACCTGTGGAACTGCGTGCTGTGAATCCCAAGAGGCTAACACTTACTTCGAAGGTCGAAATAGAACGCTAAAATCAGCGCTCTTTTAGAATCCGCACATGGCTTAAACTATAAATGTGACTCACTCTTTAACTCACCAACAAAGTAAATTCAACCTTCTCTTCATACGAAGACTGTCTAAAGATCATTGCTTGAATGTGTACTTTCTTTCAGTAATTATCATCTAAAGTATCTCTACACGAAAATGTTCCCGATAGATAAACATTTATATCTTTTTTTTTTCTGTTTTGTTTGTCGATTTTCTCAACCAATTCAACACAAGTGAGCAAAGATAAAGTGTGTCTAGAATTTACTTAAAGTGACATAATAAAAGACGCTGTGGAGAGCTACAATCGCCCAAAGAACATGGCATATAAAAAGGATGAAATGACAAATAGCCTTTATCTAAAAAAATGAAATGGCTAGATGTAACCGTAAGTTCTATTTACACTTTATTTTTTATATTGTTTATTCGAATGGTTGGCAAAACATCGGTTTGGTTTTTGTTTTACGGTATATCGACCTCAATCGGATATTTAATACCGACAAATTTTTTATTGCTGGTCATATTTTTCCAAAAGTGTATTGCTGGTAATAATTTTATCCAAGAATGTATTGCTAGTAATATTTTTTTTCAAAAATATATTGCTTGTAGTAATTTTTTTACAAAAATTATTGCTGGTATTAAAACCTATTTTTACACTTTCATAGTGTTTAGAAGACAGTTTTAGGGTTAACTATTTGCCCATAGCTCGGACCCTAACAAGTGCTACCACCCCGGGTCAGAGTGAACCTGGGAACACCAGCAATTAAGAGGTGGTTCTACGCTCCTGAAACCTCGTGATCAGAAGCCTTGCTGTCGGATGTAGATTATCGTCTTACCCAGGACGCAGATGTAGTTTATCGTTTTACCCAGAACGCGGATGTAGTTTATCGTTTTACCCAGGACGCGGATGTAGTTTATCGTCATACCCAGGATAGTGGTTTGTTTTGTTTTAAGATTTTTATTACTGGTAATATTTTTTTCTAAAAATATATTGCTGGTAATATTTTTTCCTTACAAAATGTATTGCTAGTAATGTTCTTTTTCAAAAATGTATTGCTGGTAATAATGAATTGTTGGTAATAATTACTTACAAAAATGTATTGCTTGTAATAATGTATTGCAGGTAATAAGTTTTTTTCAAAAAATTTATTGTTGGTATTAAAACCTATTTTTATACTTTCATAGTGTTTTGACCTCAGTTTCCGGGTTAACTATTTGCCCATAGCTGGGACCCTAACAGGTGCTGCCACCCCGGGTCAGGGTGGACATGGGAACACTAGCAATTAAGAGGTGGTTCCACGCTCCTCAAAACCCCCTGATCAGAGGTCTTGCTGTCGGATGTAGCTTATCGTCTTACGCAGGACGCGCAAAACATCCGCCAATTGATTCGAACTTTATAAAATGGTAAATAAGGATTTCTTTATTGTTGGTTCACATATTTTTATAATTTCGTAAATATTTTTAAATTTATGAATAATTTTTTAGCATTTATTTCTTTATAAGTTATTTATTTCTTTATAAGTTATAATGACAAATGTTGCATTGCATTAGTTCTAATTATATTATTTTTAGAATGCTGTAAATATTTAAAAAATTCTTTAAATAAATAATCTGATAAATAAACAGTGTTTAATAATTTTGTTGTAAAGTCTCGAGAGCAAAAGCATATAAATATAAATTCACTTCCATCATATGTTAAGTTTTATTAAAATTCTAATCATCTCTTTTTAAAACAATAAGCATTGCCGAGGAGTGGTGGTAGTTAAAATTATAGTGCTATCAGTTCTTTCTTTTCGCTCATTCATTATCTCTTATATTTTCCTCTACACTTTATCTGGGCCTTTTTCTTTCTTTCTTTCTTTTTTCTCATTCCTCATCTATATTTTCCTCTTGACTTTATTTATTCCCTTCGAGCTTTTTTTTCTTTATTTATGTATTTCTCATTCATTATCTCATATATATTTCTCTTCAATATTTGGTTCACTTCTAGCTATTCACGCTCTCTCTCTCTTTCTTGTTTCATTCATTATCTTATACATTGTCCTCTTCTCTTTTCCGTGCCATTCTAGTCTTTCTTTCTTTCTTTCTTTCTTTTATTTGTTATCCTTTCTTTCTTTCTTTCTTTCTTTCTTTCTTTCTTTCTTTCTTTCTTTTATTTGTTATCCATTCTTTCTTTCTTTCTTTCACTTAATACTTCCTTTTTTCTTTTTTTCATAATTCATCGCTTTCTCCTATTTCCCTTTTCTTCCTTCACTACAAATTTCTTTCTTTCTTTCTTTCTTTCTTTCTTTCTTTCTTATATTTTCCACTTCCCTTTTTTATTCCTTTCAAGTATTTATCTTTCTTTCTTTCTTTTTTCTTTCTTTTTTTCTCATTACTTATCTCATATTTTCCTCTTCTCTTTATTGTTCCCTCCTAATCTTTTTCTTTCTTTCTTTCTTTCTTTTTTCTTTCTTTCTTTCTTTCTTTCTTTCTTTCTTTCTTTCTTTTCTAAATCCTCATCTCATATATTTTCCCCTTCTCTTTTTTGTTCCCTTCAAATCGTTTTCTTTCTTTCTTTCTTTCTTTCTTTCTTTCTTTCTTTCTTTCTTTCTTTCTTTTCTCAATCTTTATCTCATATATTTTCCTCTTCTCCTTTTTATTCCCTTCTAGTCTCTTTCTTTAACGTTTTCTTTCTTTCTTTCTTTTTTTCTCATTCCTTATCTCATATATTTTCCTCTTCTCTTTTGTTTCCTTCTAGTCAATCTTTCTTTCTTTCTTTCTTTCTTTCTTTCTTTCTTTCTTTCTTTGTAGAGCCTATCCTTTCTTTTAAATTTACTTCAACTGAAATTTCTTTCTTTCTTTCTTATCTAATGTTTTCCTGTTCTCTTTATTTTTCCTTTCTAGTTTTGCTTTTTTATGTATTTCTTATTCCGCATATATTTCCTCTTCTCTTTTTCATTCCCTTCTAGCCTTTCTTTCTTTCTTTCTTTCTTTCTTTCTTTCTTTCTTATCCTCTCTCTTTTTTCATATGCCTGTTTGATCCTCTTCCTTCTCCGACCATACTAACTGCCAACTGACGTGCCCGGCAGTCAGCTTACTCACCCTCCCGCCACACACAGCGACGCTTACCTACCTCCTGACGGGGCTAATCTGTGCTTAGAGTCTTAGAACCGGCAATTTTCGGATGATTTTGCCGCCTCAGGTCAAAAGGCAGCAAATGTAATTACAGTCTGCCTGTTATCTTCTCGTTGCTTTAAATGAACTAAATCACCTCTCCTCCTCTTGTTGTTTCATTATTTTCTCTATTCAGAAGGAGAGAATAAAGATAGAAAGTTAGAAAAAGGGAGAAAGAGATAGAGCCAGCGAGCGAGATAGAGATAGATAGATAGAAAGATAGATAGATAGATAGATAGATAGAGAGAGAGAGAGAGAGAGAGAGAGAGAAAGTAAAAGGGAGAGTTTGAGAAAAAAGAAAAAAGGAAAAGATTATGCGCGCCTGAGAGTTTATAGGTAGGTAAGGTAAATCATTAAGTCCGTAGCTTAATGACGAAAGTCTTTTGCACGCCAAAATATTTACTTATCAACATAATCTCCTTTCTTGTCGATGCACGTATCAGAAGGCTTCCCCATTAATCGCATAGCCCTTACATGTTACGCTGAGGAACAGAGACAGTTTCACTACGATCTTAACCTCTTCAAGTCTAGGGTCAATCGTTATTTATCCCACAAGGCTTCATAATATGTACTTGTTACTTCCTCTCGTTACGGTCTTAAAACAACCTCATTCTGTAAACCTCTACCTTGAGTGTCTCTTGGGCCATGTAATGTGTGAACATTAGTATAATAAAGGAACTACTTGAATAGGTTGGTCCAATCATAAAAAAATAGGCAACATTTTGGTGGTAAATATTTTGATAAAATATCTAGACCTTCCTTATGCCGTGACTTTCTTTCTTTTATGAACCAGATCCTTTCAGGACGTAGGCGATCATGGCTCTTCACTCCCCTCAATACTTTGCAGCTCTCAACAAGTTCCTTCCCTCTTCTTCCTTCTCCAGACCACGTTCTGTCATCCACATGCTTAAGCCCGCTATGTATGTCATGCGTTGATTTCCTTTGTCTCTCTTTCCCTCTATTCGACCTGTGAGTATCAGTTTCTCTAGGCCGTCTTTTCTTATTACGTTTCCCAGAAACTTCAGCTGCCTCTTCCTGATATTAAGTCTAAGCCTCCTCCTTGACACTTGTCAGAAACGAAAAATACAGAGCCGCTCTTGATGTAGAAGAGAGGGTTTTCTTTATATTATCGGTACAATGTCAAGTCGATCATCCCTACTTTGAAGAGTTATTGCCCTTTGGCCATTTCATTTCGCTGTTATTTACTAATGCCACGTTTGAAAGTCTATTAACATCAGCGATATCTGCAGATATATATATATATATATATATATATATATATATATATATGTTTAATTTTCAGATCTGTTTATCTTAAAGGAAGAAACTGATACATAATTTTATTAATTTATGAAAATTTTTCTTCTTCAAATTTAAATGAATATATCGCTGTGTTCATTATTTAAATGCTATCTTTTGCACCCCACTCCCCCAAAAAATGATTTTCGTAAACAAGACCGTAAAGGCTAATATTTTTCTAAAATTCAAGGATTAATTCGATACTGTATTAATATTAAAATCAAATTACTGCAGAAGTTTAAAAATTGGCCTTGAAGCTCGTGCGGAAGTTTAAATATCTAGGAAGTGTTCTGACAGAGGACGGTAAGTGTCGACACTGAGATCCGAAGATTTATTGGGATGGGCAAAGATGCATTGAGATCCGAAGACGTATTGAAATGGCCAAGGTTGGATTCCAAAAGCTGGTCAGAGTATTGTAAGATCGGAGAATTTCTTGAGGTTTAAATATCTAGAAAGTGTTCTTATAGAGGACGGTAAGTGTCGACACTGAGATCCGTAGACGTATTGGGATTGCTAAAAGCTGGGCAGAGTATTGCCAGAAAGACAGGAGGATTTCTTTGGTAACAAAGAAAAGTATACTGGGAAGTATTAAGACATAAAGAGCGATCCAAATGCAAAAGGACGTGTACCTATGTTCCATAGACTACGCACAGGCCACAAAGTATGCCACAAGGATCTGTTGGAACTGCTTCGCAAACTTGATATATTGGGGAAAGATATTAGAATAATCAAGAACCTATACTGGCAGCAAACAGCATGCATGCGCATACAGAACGAGTTCAGCGAATATACAAAAATAGAAATGGGCGTAAGGCAAGGGTGTGTTTTCTCACCGGACCTGTTCAGCCTATACAGCGAGGCAATTCTGAGAGAATTGGAAACCCTACCGGGATTCAGCTTTGGTGGCCACAATCTTAACAACATAAGAATTGTAGATGACCCAGTACTGATAAATTACAAAATCTCCTACAGCGAAGGAGAGCGAGAAAAAGGGACTAAGCATAAACTACAAGAAGACAGAATTCATGGTCATCAGCAAAAGGGTGAGCCTGAAATGCGATTTGAAGGTCGGGGACATTAATATCAAGCAGGTGCGTAAGTTTAAATATCTGAGAAGCGTTTTGACAGAGGAAGGCAAGTGCGACACTGAGATCAGTAGACGTATTGGGAAGGCCAAGGACAGATTCCAAAAGCTGGGCAGGGTATTGCGAGACAGGAGGATTTCTTTGGTAACAAAGAAAAGAATACTTAGCTGTTACGTGACATCAGTCCTCCTTTACGGCAGCGCATGTTGGACGGTGTCCTCAAAGATGAAGAAGAGATTCGAGGCAACAGAGATAGAAGGACGTTGAAGATATTATGGTGCGAGCGTGTGAGCAACGAGTGGTCTTGGAGAAGATGCAAACAAGCTTATACTTAACATCAGGAAGAGGCAGCTGAAGTTTCTGGGACACGTAATGAGAAAAGAGGGCCAGGAGAATCTGATACTCACAGGTCGAATAGAAGGAAAAATAGACAATGGAAATCAACGCATGACATACCTGGCGGGCAAGTGGATGAGAGGTCGTGGTCTGGGAGAGGTGGCAGAGGGACGAAACATTGAGAGCTACAAGAGATAGGGGAAAGAGGAGAGCCATGATCACCTACGACCTGAAATGACACGACACATAAAAAGAAACAAGTGATATTAGAGACAGGACTCCAGTTATAAATCGATGACAATATTTTTATATTATTATTAGTGTCGCGGCTTTAGGAAGATATACAGTGTTAATCTTCTCCTTCTTTGTGCCGTGTTCCTCCCGAACGTTGGCGATCATGGCTCTCCTCAACATCCTGTCCTTTGTAGCTCTCAGTAAATTTTGTCCATCCATTTCCATCCTATCTCCAAAACCCTGCTCTGTTCACTGAAGCTCACCAGGTTAGGATATGTGTTGTTTTTCTCAGTTTCTCTTACTTTCGATCTACCCTGGGAGTATCCAAATTTCCAATCCCCCTTTCCTCATTATGTGCTTTCAAAATTTCTTATCTATCTCTTCCTGGTGTGAAGTATATTTACTTTTTGTTATTATTGTCTCTAGAACTTTGTCGTTACTCACATATTCGGTCAACATTATTCCGTAGAACATTCATTTCTATCGCTTCTAGTCTATTCCTCTCTGTGAGGAGATTGTTCAGCATTTATTACCATGTAGAAGAACTGGTATTTCGTAACAGTTCAATACTATTGTCTTTTTTTCTCACGGATTTTTTTTTCTATTTCTTTATACTTTGCTTAGCTTTTGGAAGGCATCTTTCACTATCGCAATGCGACTTCAGATTTCGGTGTCGGACTCTCACCAAATTAATATATTTCAATTAAAAATAAAAAATGTCTTGAGCCGCTGTTGTAGAGACTTTGATGCCGGCCACAAAGCCAAGTAAATCACTGAATGGTTTAAATGCCCTAAAACCTTGTAAAGTCATATGGGAGCCCAGACAACAAGAAAAACTTCAGGTCATAACGTAAAACTCATAAAAAGTGCTCTTACACCACCAAGACGCCCGAGATCATTGCCGAATCAACGAGAATTCCAACAAAACCATGAGAAAAATCGCCAAGGAAATGGTCACCAGCAGGCGAACAATATGACCATATCTGGGTTACGGGATGTGTCACTTGAGGAATTTATACTTGGTATACGTTGGTGAGGTTTATAGCTTTTCTTATTGTTGCCCACTCGCTTTATCACTACTTCAGTACACTCTCCTCTTTTCTGTTATCTTTTTATGCTCTGAAAAGCTAAATGTTTTTGGGAATAGAAACGCCTCCCTGCTATTTAAATTTGCGTACTTGTTTGGTTTGCGGTATCTCTGATATGTAATTTCCATGTTGGGCTGTTCATTTTGTTACAAAAAGTATTTTCCTCCGTTCAATTTTTCCTTATTTTTTTAGGAGTGGACCAATCTACTTAAGTATTGTATAAAAAAAAAGTTCTACAATGAAAATTTCAGATAAAAATTAAGTTAAAAACAACTAGGGGCATATTGACCAACCATTGTACAACGTAACATACAGTATGGCGCAGATGAATAACAGCGTAGAGAGGTTTCGGGGGCGCCATTAGAAAATGCTACACCTCAGTAGCTGACTGAGGTGCAGCACGAACTTCTTAGTAATCAACATGTCTTCAGAATACGATCGTCGAGCCGCTGTTGTAGAGACTTTGATGCCGGCCACAAAGCCAAGTAAATCACTGAATGGTTTAAATGCCCTAAAACCTTGCAAAGTCATATGGGAGCCCAGACAACAAGAAAAACTTCAGGTCTTAACGTAAAACTCATAAAAAGTGCTCTTACACCACCAAGACGCCCTAGATCATTGCCGAAATCAACGAGAATTCCAACAAAACCATGAGTAAAATCGCCAAGGAAATGGTCACCAGCAGGCGAACAATCTGACGTATTGTCAAGGAGGACTTGAATTATAAATCTTGTGCTCAAGTGGCGCCACTTGCCCACCGTACCACTGATCGCTCGACTTATTGTCCCCTCATCGCCAGACTGCAATCATTTCGACTATTTTGTATCGGGCGTTTTGGAGAGGTGGGTGAACTGTAGACTTTACAATATTAAAGATGCTCTCAAGGAAGCTATCAGAGGGGCCATGGCCAACATAGACAAGGACGCCGTCGCCAAAGCCTGATACAGCTTCCGGTTCCGCCTAAAAACAGTGGTAGCCGCCGACTGTGTTCACATCTAATGATTTTTGTACCTCATATATGTATCTAACTGTGAATAATTTTAATTGAAATATATTAATTTGTTATATAGAAAAAACGTTGGTTTTATTGTCATTAATCTTTTCCAGATTAAACAGAGCCAGACTATAAAATGTATAATTATTTACCCGCTGCACCACGCAGCAAGATGTGGCACAACGCCGAGTTTTAAAGTGGGGTATCCGAGCCCGTAGGCTCGGGCAAAAATTTCCTATAGACCACGTAAAAACGGAATCAATCTCCCGAGACGAGACTCCGACCTTCGGGCATAGCCTCGTCTGGAGGATACCCTCTGACATACGCCAGGTAAGTAAATGTATAAGCGCACACACTAAAACTATATTGTTGATTTTACTTTGTTAATTGCTTCTTTTCAGTTGTATCGATTCGTCATATCACATCTTTCTGTTTACATTTGAGCAATGATCGCTGTATTTGTACTCTGTTCAGTTAAGTTTTTAGATGAATAAAAACAGAAACGACTAATGGTTTCAAGGAACAGGACTTAACTATGTTAATGTGTTTTGGTGTTGACTGTGTGGATAGTGTAACGTGGAAAAGCGGAACCGGCCAGCCAAGATCAAATTACGGACGATTTCATTTCGTTCATATACCCTTAGAAAAGACATGAATCTACTGAGCAGAACAAACTTGATTCTATAATCTGGGATGGCAACAAGTCTAGGAGAAGGAAAACTTTCAATTTAAAACCAGTCTGAAGAAGGATGGGTACCGTCAAGCTACCTTGATCTGTCCTAGACGAAACACACCTACTATGGCAGCAGTAGATGTGGTATCTCTATGACCATATCTGGGTTACGGGATGTGTCACTTGAGGAATTTATACTTGGTATACGTTGGTGAGGTTTATGGCTTTTCTTATCGTTGCCCACTCGCTTTATCACTACTTCAGTACACTCACCTCTTTTCTGTTATCTTTTTATGCTCTGAAAAGCTAAATGTTTTTGGGAATAGAAACGTAAAACGTAAAAGTAATACTAATGCAACCATTGAAATTTATGGTTTTTAATTAATATGTAAGATACTAATAATCTGTGAGAAAAAAATATTTAGACATTAAAACGATCATCACTTCATGAAATTTGGCCTTTATTGACCTAACGGATACACACTCGCGCACGCGCATACATACCCACCCAAAAACACACAAAGGTACATATGTTTCTTTTTATTATAAACGTTATATTTATGTCGGTTTAAAAACTTCCATCACTTGATCAAAAAAAATTCCTTTTTTTTTTAACGTTTCTGCTATGATAATTAAATTTATCACATATAGACTCAGAAATGCGCCAACGAGCGATATGAATTTATTGAATAGAAAATGTGCCGAGGCTTTTCTGCGATTACGTATTTGTGGGTCATTTGTGAAGAACGCTCCACCTGAATGTGGTTTCCCAGATTAAAATAAGGAATATAAATACAATTCCCTCCTTTTGTTTATTAAGCGTTTAATGCCAGTAGACATTAATTTCACTGTTTGGAACAGACAATGTCTACTCAAATGTGTGTACCCACCAAATATAACATTATCATAATAGGAAACAATGCCTTATTAACTATATATATATATATTGATGCATGTTTCATTAAATAATATAGACAAGTTTTGTCTATTTATTTTAAGTAAGTTCATTTCATATTCCCTGATAAGCTTAATAACATTATCATTGAAAGACGAAAGGAAATCACCATATAGATTTATGTTTTAATCCTATCTAAGCTTTCGGCTTACATAAGCCATTATCAAAGGTGACAATTACTTTTCAATATCTCAAACAATACACGGACAAAACAATAATGATAATCTGTTTTTGTTGCATAAAAAATTTCAAAGCAACGATAAACTCGTGTATACGAGACGCGGAAGCGAAAATGGCATCGCAGCTCGTGATGTCACACAAGATCACGCGAGAGGGAAAAAGAGAAGTATTAAATATGGGAAGCCGTTGGTATAAACCAATGGCTTCTGTTATCAATTATAGGCATTTAAGAATATTTGTGGAGATTTCATAGTTTGTTTTTTTCAGGTTAGGTTTCAACTGTTTTATGTATATAGCTTCAAGAATTTTTAGTTCTTGTTTATTGTTTTCATGTTTAAGTATAGTTGTGTTTTCAACAAGAATTTTCCGGAATTGTGTACGCGGCCAGCCTTGTTGTTTTAAATGCCTATATATATATATATATATATATATATATATATATATATATATATATATATATATATGTAAGGACTCTATTCTCGTCTGTAAAACAAGCCCACGTATTATGGACCGATTGAGAAAGGAACTGATAATTTTTTAAAGTTCCCGAATTAAATATTACCACTACAACCTAAATGCTAAAGTGATCAACTTTCTCAATGTGAACTTAGACTTGAATAATGGTTATTATATACTGTTGTAACCTAGGGAAAGTTACTAAACAGAATAATCACACGAAGGTTGATAATGAACGATAATAGTTAGGACAAGAACAACACATATAAGATTCGCCAGCGGCGCGTAGATTTAGTCAACTGCTAGTAGTGGGTCAAGTGAATTCCACAATGAATCTCCAACTGTAGGATATTTACCAACCGCCCCATGCAGTCAGATATGGCACAAGGCCGAATTTAAACTGTGGCAGCCGAGCCCGTAGGCTCGGCCAAAAATTCCCCATAGACCCCGTATAAAACGAGACTCTGCCCTTCGACATAGCCTCGTCTGGGGATCCTCTCTGCCCGGAGGCAGAGAGTTTGACCACCACACCCGGGACGAATCTCCAACTGAAGACCAACATACAGTATCTACTACTTTATTTATGTGAATGCGGATATACCTATTACCGTCCGTCGGTATGCTACAATATAAACCATATACAAAATATCTATATAACCATAGATACGTCAGTAAAGAATCAAGCCAAAATTCTAGATACTTTACATAAATCAGTCTAAGTTAGATTATCTACCAAATCCAGCAATAAGGAAATATTTGAGAATGATAAAATTAAATATATAAAGGCTTTAGAACTAAGTAATCATAAAGTAAATTTAGACTATTTAGACAAAAAATAAATAAATAAATAAATAAATAAAAAGCAATGAAGGTAAAAATAAACAGAAACACCGTAAGCGTAACAACATATGGTTTAATCCACCTTTTAATTGTAATGTTCAAACGAATATCGGAAGAATTTTCCTAAATTTAATTCATAAGCCCTTTAACCATTTACCAAAATATTTTTTAATAAAAATAATGTTAAGATCAACTATATCTGCGTTAATAACATAGATAAATCTATATCTCAACATAACAACATTATATTAAACAAATATATTTCCAACATAGACAACTTAATTTTTTCTAAAAATAAATGCAAATACCAAAAAAGTATTATCTGTCTTAAAGGTATGACTGATAATATTGTATGCCGAGCGAGCATACATTCCGGTAACGATAAATTAAATGGCTTTAAGTAATAGAAAAATACAAAAACAGCACTGCTGTCTGTTAATATTTCTGGCAATTAAAGAATGATGATATTTCGCCTTTTATCAACTGGGATATTATCGCAAGAACCAAATCTTATAACGGGAAAGAAAATAGATGTAACTTGTTGAAAAATTTATTATCTTAAAACACTTAAATAACCCGAGATTATTATACAAGAGAACTGAATTGATGGTTACATGTATGCATAAAGATAAATATCTGTTTATATACGTTGATCCGGATTAATTTTTAGTGTAAATTACGATTATGATAACCACATATATTGCAATAGCACTCGTGTTTCAACACATAACGATGCGTCTCCTCAGGCGATTGTAAATTGCTGGCGGATGAACGATTAATGTGGTTTCAAAAGCAAAATACAAACTCATTTAAAAAAAAGGCTTGATGGCTTTATGATAAACCAATGCAATATGCGCTACATTATATTCAATCTAAGGGGAAAGGAAAAAAATAAAAATTATCGTACAAATGTCTCATGGCCAAGATTTAACATCTAGCCAGACATTAACTTAAAGACTGATACAAATGGTTGTAATAAATGTACATATACCAGACAGACAACCTTCATAAGATATAAAACCGGTGGTGGGTAGGGAGGTAATGTAACCGAATACCCAACTAGTTATAATCTTTGTGGATTTTCTACATAAAAAAATTTGTTGCTGATAAATAAGAAGCCTTTTTAAGAAACCAGTAAATAATCTAAACATATAGAATTATTTGGTAAATAATATGCAACCGTTAACTAAATATCATCCATATAAGATGTTAACAATATCAACCAATCAATTTTAAATGTCAAAAATACTAACTAAATACCAATACGATGTATTGGTATTTAGTTATGTAATACCAGTATAAGATGTTAATAATACTACCAGGAGATCAATAGAGAACTAAATTAAACCCAAATTAATCATACAAATAGAAAGATGTCATAGATGAT